CCAAATTAGTGCACGAAAATGGCATAACGTGAGCTGGGAAGTAGGTTTCAATGATTTTCACTTCTCAAGAAGTCTCAAGAAGGGGTGCAAAATCTCTGAACCACCCCCCCTCCCCCACTCCCTCCATCCCTCCCATTCGGTTGCATCAAAATTCATGGATGTCCACTCCTCCCGTTCTGATGGGTGATTCCGGTTTTATCCCCACCAGCATCCTCGCCCCTAAAAGTACGTTAATTCAGCACTGACGTGTAGGAAAATAGGCTCCCTTGATGCTTTTTACAATGCTTCTAGGTCAAGTTCAGAATAAGTTTAGATTAGGTTTAAGTTTAGGTTTAGATTAAGTTTACTAGAGGCGAGGAACAGGCCCCAGGAGTTGGAAGGGGATCTCGAGCGACTTGATAGCCTGCGTCACCCCTTTTCCCTGTTGGCATTCACTTCCCAAGCACAGACCAAAGAGGTCTTGTGAGAAACGGGGACACGTTCACTATCATCTTCTCCATCTCACAATAGAATCTGATCCGGCGTTTAGAATATCCCCGCGAGCCACGAATGAATCCCCAGGGACAGGAAAGGATTCAGTGAGCGCTAGACAGCACGATCCCTTCTGCTGCCGCCATATTGTCCATCTGTCGACTATGGCTGAAGGCCAACCGGATTTCAGTTTCTTTCCTCTATCGTCCTTGTCCCATCCGTAGGATTCGGCTGGCCGGAAGGTGTAATATATTGGTGGTCTTCCCTCTGTGAGCGAGGGTTGAGAAGATTCGAAACGGATCGAGTGGAAATGGAAGAAATATTTGGTTGAGAAAGAAAGGGTGCTCATGGCCTTTCTCGTAGCCAGCTTCCACGTCTTTGTCCTTTTCGCCTTCGTTCATTCGAAGCACCTTCTATTCCCACAGCATGGTAAGGTGATTAACGCTTCCCTTCTTAGCTAAGCGATTTCGGGTTTTCGAGTTGCGTGGGTCCTAGTGATAGCATCGCTCTCGGTGACCTTGGACTCTTACTAGGGGTTGGGACGGCTTTCAACCAGCAGAATAATTTTCTCCGCTTTGTATCAGGAATACAAGCTGGTGGCATTCTTCCCGAGATGGTCACGAATCGTTTTATTTGTGTGGCATTTTTATTAAACAGGATTAGGGATGGAGTATGGATGGGATGGATAGATCATTTGGCGTAGTAGTAGCCGAAATTTATTTCCGGAATTCTGTCAGTATCCCGTGCAAAAGCACAGAATTAAAAGGCAATGAATGCGAACATGGCCAAGGGGAGGGCGGTCGCCACTCCCTCGGCCCCTGCATCCGCCATTGGCTGGCCATGTGAGAAGACAGTGCAGGGCAAAAATACCCCTCATTACTCGAAGATCCACCCCCCCCCCCCCCCCTTCGTAAATCGTCATGGCATAGGCTAGGCGGATGGGGAACTGATGCCGAGCGAAGACGAAGGGCAGCCCAAAGATCAAGACGTGAACTTTGAATTGTTACTTTGTAGGACAATGTGGTATGTGGGCTTTTATTAGCAGCCTCACGCTGCTATGCGGACACGTTTCCGAACGTTGGTGGCCTTTGGCCACGCTGCGTGAACCCATTACTATGCGAAAGCCATTACCATACAGGAAAGCACACGCGATCGCGCTGTGCGCACGCGTGCGTCGCGTGTGCGCGCGCGCACATGCCACGGACCACCACCACATCTAATCATCCTCGCGACGTCTGCTGAGGTCAGCGTTTCCTTTCCCCTTTTCGTGAATGGCAGGACGTCGAGTGGATGCTGGGTCAAGTCGATGAACGCTACGCCGAATTTTCGCAACTGAAATTCAGTCTTTTTTTTCTTAATCACCCTTTAACGAATTTCAAGTCTGAGAAAAAAAGCATTTTGTAGCTAAGCGTTTTTTCTTTCCATTACGTGTAACCGGAAAAATATCCTTGAAAACATCACACCTGAAATGTGCATTGAAAAGAGTGCCCCTTTTTGGGTCACCCTGTAGATTCCGGACTTAGCATGGCATTTTGCTATGCAAAATCCATAATATATGAGTGAGCTCGTTGATTAATATTATCCGTGAGCATGATAGAACAAATTTTATTCCTGTCTGAGGCACTTCATGTAGCTTGGCGTAGTATCTCTGAATATTCGGGGAGACCCTCCTGAAAGATCCAAGGCAGTCCTGAGTGCTCACGTACCTGGCAGCTCTGAGAGGCCTCAGATACCTACGCGGCATGTGAATGTGCGTGAAGGAGCGTGAGGCTGAACACTCCTGGCCTCTCCGAATTTCAACCGCACTGGTTTTCGTCATTTTTTCACGGTAACGAACACGAGGCTCGTTCTCGGCTATATTCCGTTCGAGAAAGTCAAATAGAGAATTGGAAACGAGGCGGAGATAAGATAAGCCTCTGCGAATCGGGACATTTCGCACAGACTCCACTCCCATTGTGCATTTCTTCGCTACGAGATCAATGTACGTTTAAAATTGATATTGTTTACCTGAATTGCCCGATAAAAGAAATTTTCTGTGCGAATTAGTACTCATGCATTAACAACCTGTAGATATTTCCTTCTCACCATTGAGAGCCACGTAAGGAACTTCAGAGTAGCGATCTCGAGAGTTAATCATTGGAAGTCCTCTTAGATAAGTAGTCTATCGTCCTGGACCTGGATAAATGAGCCTGGAGATCTCTGAACAAGAGCTCTGATAGAACTCGATTCTGGTGTTCGTTTTCTCAGTTCTGCATGATGCTTAGTTTTTATTTCTTTTTTTGCGCGTGGATATTTTGGAACTCTCCGGAATGTAATGGGTGGAGGCCTATTTCTCGTATTACCTTAATTTGGATTACGTCTTCAAATGATGCGCGAATATGTCCACTTTAAGCCATTGTCTTCAGACGTACGATATGCGATACGAGAGAAAGCGCGAATATACTCCTCAAACACCTGACTTGGTTCGCTGTAGAGGCTCAGCTACTCCCCTTATATGTCTCAGATACAGGGTGGGCAAGAAATACCTGACAAATTTCAAAGTAATGTTATATGGGCATTATGACTGGAAGCAAAATGCTTTGTACAGCATAGTAAACTACAATCTCAGGAGTTTTGCAAATAATATCCATGTCTGGTTTTTACCTCGTCTAGGCTTTGAAAACAGTGGCACGTAAATGTCCACCACCTTCCTGTATGCACTGACACGTATGGATCACTGTGTTTCACATCACTTTTTGCTGGTCTCGATTGGAATATTGGCTATTGCCAGTTCAATGTTTCTGCGATAATCTGGAAGGGTCCTTGGCCTGTTGTAGTAGACTTTCGATTTCAAGCACCCTATTGGAAAATTTCAGGGGTTGTTAATTCTGGACTTCTGGCTGGTCATGGAAAGTCTCCAAAACCGTGAAATGTGATGATTTGGAAATATTTGTCTCAGCAGCGTCATTGATGCAGGGATAGCGTGGGCAGTTGCCCCATCTTGCTGGAACCAGGTTAGGTCATCAAATCCCATCTCTGTGAGTTTTGGAGTATTGAAGATGTTTGTCATCGTTTAGTATCGGTTAGACCTCACTGTGACTATCCATTGCATCAGATATCCATTGCTTCAGAAAAAATACAGCTCTGGCACTGAAAATTGAACTAGCAATAGCCAATATTCCAATCGAGACCAGCAAAAAGTGATGTGAAACACAGTGATCCATACGTGTAAGTGCATACAAGAAGGTGGTGGACATTTACGTGCTACTGTTTTCAAAGCCTAGACGAGGCAAAAACCAGACATGGATATTATTTGTAAAAACTCCTGAGATTGTAGTTTACTATGCTGTACAAAGACTTTTGCTTCCAGTCATAATGCCCATATAATATTACTTTGAAATATGTCAGGTATTCCTTGCCCACCCTGTACGTAGCGCGCATAGATTTTTTGTTTCGCCTGCCTGTTTTCTCCGTAGGGACTTGGAAAGATCCACCTTACTTAAGGCATAGAGTAGAGTATAACTAGGGGCGTATTTCTTTGCTCTCTGCAGCAGCGATTCAGAAGACAGTACGCATGCATGTTTCTTACCTAGCTACTCTCCTGATACAAATGCGCATGCGTCCTGTCTTCTGGAGAGCTGCTGGTGATAGCAAAGAAATACGCCCTAGAGGCGACACTCCTCTCGAATCTCATTCATTGGCAGGGTCGGAATATAGATGTCACTGTCGATCCTCCACCTAGCGTGCGCGCATCAACTCCTCCACTGCCGAGCAGCCGACTCGACGAGACATGCGTGTTACGTTGAGGGATCCCTTTGGGTCGAATCCCCGAACAAGTCAATTCCTGATTCCGCTGTCACGAAGCACGCTTCATGGAAGTGTTGCTGATAACAAGCCACCAGATGTCCCTGTAATATTTCGACCCTCCCCTACCCTCGGAGTGTCGCCTCTAGTTACACTCCCTACTCTAAGCTTAAGGTCGATAGTGGCACCTTCGATTCGGCATGCAGGGGTTAGTACTTGGAATGCCGCTTCCACGACCGCCGACACCCATTATCCTTCCATAAACGCCGAACTGTGAAACCTGTCTCAGACGTCTTCTCCGGGAGTGCCGATTACTCTCTTTCTTCTCTCTTCCGCCGATGCCGAACTTCTTTGTCCGTATTCGAACCCTTGATTTCATGACCAATGCATTTCATTTCGACTACTCTACCACCACTCCACCGTCACCACAAGAATTCAGGAAGGTACATTTTAACACTCTTAAGTTTTGATTCTTTAGTCTCCCCATCCTTGACCTAAGCCCCCAGGAATGCCGACCAAATGACTAATTTCAGTTACATTTTGATGACTGTAAAGATTTAAAGCTATATGAAACTGTTTGCTTACTTTCCTTAGTCGATATTTTTCTAAAATGTGCGATGTTGTTGAGATATCAAATAATTTTGCGAATGACACATCACCGAGAAATCTGCCTTCCCCCCCTCCACCCCCACCCCCCCCTTTGGCTTGCCTCGTGCATATAGTTATATAGTTTTGTCGCTGTGTCGATGAAATGTAAATCTGTAATAGCCCGTCTGGTGAGCTTGTCCTCTTATATGTGAAGAGTTATAATGCAACCTGAAGTTATTTTTTTTTCGGGTGTGCAAGGTTGCATCGCATGTATGAGTCTACAATATGCTTCCTCAGCCTTGGTCGTTGTTTATCCAAGATCACTCCCTTTTATACACTTCGCCGAAGAAATCTTGCCGGATGTGTCAGATGAGGGGGGAGGAGAATGCAAGGAAAAATGTTTTTTTTTTGCTTCGGCATTCAAGGATAGTGCCCCAAAGGGACGTCCTTTTCCGCCGACCTGTCCCTCTATGCCGAAATTCAACTTCGGCATTCCCGGAATCATCTAGAGTGGAGAGATATTTCTCTTCGTCCCAGTCGGCATTAAAGGACAACCTCCATCGGCATTCGCGGACTAGTGTAAAATCGGCAGACACAGAAGACTGAAAGTTCGGCATTCCAGGAGCTTCCCGGCATGCAGACATCGATTTAAGAAATTGCTGGTGCCGTTCCACAGGGACGCCGGCCCATGGAATCGGTGCGGAGTGCGAGACACCCGAACCTGACGTGCAACCGGGGAAATGCATCAACATTAAAGATTGTGAGAAACTCCGCTCTCTCCTTCACGGACCCAATCAAAACATCGATTATGTGAGGCGGTCCATCTGCTTCATACCGGTCAATGGAGGGGATCCCGATGTTTGCTGCCCAGAGGCAAAACGCTCTGAACCCTTCAAGGCGGTCGTAAGTGTTTATTATTATTATTTTTTTAAAGAATAAACTCCAACTAGAATTAGCAAAATTGTCATCAATTTTAAACAACCTTTTCCTGTCACGGTTGACAAACCGGATTCAATGTCGAGGATCTCCACGCGATCTGATAACAAGGATGCATTCGTTTTGCTTTTCAGGTAACTTTGAATAAAAAGAAACTGTTCCCGAACCCTCTCCAGTACGAATGCGGCTTTGGGGTCAATAACAGGATAGCGAACGGGGAAGATGCTCCACTTGGAGCGTGGCCCTGGATGGCTCTGCTCTTCTATGAATGTAAGTGGAATCTCGTGCTGCCTTCAGCAGGGAATTTCTCTCGCTGTTCACTCGGACAACTCTTATGGATGAACGGGATTTTATATTCCAGTTCCTGGGGAAGAAATGAAGCCACGTTGTGGAGGAGCTGTGATCAACGAACGATACGTAATCACGGCTGCCCATTGCGTCAGTCCTATCATCATCGGCGACAACAAACTGTGAGACCTCGAGCTTATTCTCGATACTCAGTTTAGTCTCCTCTGTCATGACGACATCGTGCTTGCAGCGCATACGTGAGACTGGGAGAGCACACGCTATCGACGAACCCAGATTGTAGGGGGGCGACGAATGAGGATTGCCTACCGTTGTACATCAATGTAAACGTGGAACAGACCATAATTCATCCCAACTTCAAATTGAACGGTAGAAATGCGATCAGCTCTGATATCGCCCTCCTCCGGCTCGCCAAGGTCGTCGATTTCCAAAATCCAGGTAAAACATCAGCCGTCAATGCGTTCAGTCGCGCATTCCATACGCCGATTTTGACGGTGTCAAGATGTGAACATTTTTCCTTTACCGATATCAGGGTCCCGGAAGTTCCTATGCTAACCCTGAGTCTCAGGATACTGGTATTAGGTCTGTCAGAGTAGCTTTCAAGTTGTATCTCCAGCAAGTGTAACGAAATTACAAATTAATTCAAAGTTATTATTTTCTGTATGACGCCTTATGAGATGAGGTTACACATACATTTTCTATCAAATTCAATATCTCAATATGACCAACATTGCCAATTAGACATTCAGTGAAGACCAACCGAAAGTAATGTGATATATTCTTATTTTCCTCTTTTCATTATTCCCGAGTTATCAGCACAAGTGTTTCTTCATATAGATAGCATTCTTCCGATCTGTCTGCCATTCAACCAGGATATCATTGCACCGAATGGCGATATTTCTTTTGATAACAAGACTGGATGGGTCGCCGGATGGGGGCAAACCAGCTTTCGTGAGTTCCTCCTCAATATTCCATTTCTTTCAAATACATGTTCCCTTCATTCCTAATGGACTGCCTCATTGAAAGAGGCGTAGATATACGAGGGCCTTCGGAAAGTAGATACTTTTTAGTTTTTTTACGAAGGATACAATACAGGAATTATCACGACGATAAATGTTCCTTCTCCGCGTATCCACTATATACGCTGTTGTCCCACCCGCGATTAAGCTTCCGAAAAGAATTAGCACGATCATTTTTGGGTATCTGAAGTACTGGAAAATAGAGGATCCCAAATTACCACAGCGCTAAAACCTTCGACCACGGAGAAGTTCCTTGCATTCCGGAAAGAAAAAGTAGTCTCTCGGGGCTAAGCCAGTAAGGAGGATGTGGCGCTAAATTCCAGCCCAGATCGGTGATTGTTGCAGTCGTGATGGAAGAGTGTGGGCGAGCATTATCGTGCTGTAGGAGCACTTGCTGCAATAGGTTGGATCTTGTCTTTTGCAGGGTAGGCAGCAATTCTTTCCTGAAAATATTCAGAATATCTTTGACCTATAACAGTGACTCCCCGAGGGCATCGGCTGCACCAGAATGACACTTCTCATCCCCAAAACATGACGAATGCGGCCTTCCTGGCAGGACTTTTCTCTTTTTTTTTTAAGACAGGACATGTGACGGACATACAGGACAACGGACGCATTTTTTTACATGACACAGAGAGGAAGGGGGTGCCCGCTTGGCACGAGCACCACATCCGTATCACAGTCCCTTAGGCTGGGACACCCCTTTACGGTCCTGTAGGAGGCCTTAGGGTTTAGGTAGCAGATCATCATCGAACTCAACAGGTCGGCCTGAACGCGCTTCATCGGCTAAGCTGTAGTCACTAGACCTGAATTTCTGGAACCACCGTTGGCATTTCCTCGCATTTAGAGCTTCCTCACTACAAACATATTGAATGTTTTTCGTGGTTGCAGTCGAGTTATTCCCTTTCTTAAATTCATAAAGCTTTACATGCCTAATGTGTTCCTCTGATACCTCCATCTTGTTTTTAACGTCCAAGAAAAACGAAACGCTGTTAACTCGTTAAAACCTACACCTAGACTGAAGACTAACGTCTACACAAGTTAACATAGAAATATTCCATGGGATGTGCACAGATACACGTATAAACAAGACACAAGTTTGGCAATGCGAAAAAACCGCATTACTTATGGGATGACCAGATATTTACTAGGTTGTAACGAAAGTTTTTGTGCATACAAACAACGCAACAGTCCGCGAAGCACGATTTTTTTGTCGCACATTCTGAACGCTGAAATTTGTATCAATTTAACGAATTGTAAAAAAAAAGCAACATATATTTATACACGGCATAAAACGCGCTTTCGTTCAGAATGTGTAACGAAAATATCGTGCTACGCGGACTGTGTCGTTGTTTGTATGCACAAAAACTTTCGTACTAGGAATGCTTCAGCCTTGTAATATTACTGGGGTACTTCTGGTACCCCAGGCATGGCTATAAAAAAAAATTTATAGAAGATACAGTTGTTCCGTCTCTTATTAATTTTGTGAATTTATCCTAACACCAATATAGTATGGTTTTATGGTTTCTCTTCATTGAGCTGCTGAATCCTAAAAAAAAAGTTAGTATATCAAAATTCCATAAAGTGGGGTTCACCAATGGCAAATGTCATTCTGGCAGATCAATGGTAATCTTCACATAGAGCATATAAATTTGGTGCTCCTATAATATAAGGGTAAAGTTGTGACTAGCTGAAGTTGCAACTTTTCTAGACCTCATTCGCTTTCACATTCACCAAAGATGGTATATGAAGCTAGAAATTTTCCAAAGTTGGATCATCAGCAAAATTGTGCTTGTAACATTTACCTGTTATTTGAGTAGTACCCTTCTAAAGTTAATGCATAAGCGCTAAGTATCTACAGTTGGTATGATCAGGATCATTCAAGAAGTCCGAAGGTGCCTATTTTGGACATTAGTTACTCTGGCCCTTGAGGAATTCTGTAGCATCTTCTGATTCTACTATATATTCTGGTCAATGAGAATGAATGCCTTCAATGATAATGAATCTTTGCAGAAATGTGGGTTTAAATTAGGTCATTCAATGCCCATTATTTTTTTCCCGTCACCCTCAGAGTTTTGGAGTATGGGGGTGGAGGGTGGGGTGCTAAGCGAACTGAGGAATTACTGCTGGATCTGTCCTCTTTGATTTAAACAAATGAAAAATGAAAGGAATGAATTCCAGAGTGGAGAAGGGGTGGTGTAAAGAGGGAAGGGGGGGGGGAGGGATGAGAAAGTCAACCTTCTTTCCCTTCAATGGTGCTCATCTGGTACTAGATGAGAAATAGTCAACATACACCAAGCTGAAAGCCAAGCTGATCAAAGGCATTACTATAGGTGCAATAATCTAAATTCTAAATACACACATTGCGTTCATGACCCTTGAGAATTCGTTGTATTCGTTGAATCATGGCATGCCACTCTTCCAAAACCGAAGTAGACAGTGCCCAATGCACAATAAATGCACATTAAAACTTCTGGAATAACCCACATACCCAAAATGTCAGAGTCTTTATGTCTAGAAAAATTATGAATTTTTGCTTTTTCATGCTTATTGTGGCTGCATGCAATCATAATGTTTGTATATTACCGAGAAGATAGCCTAAGGGTAAAGAAAAGCTTTCCGACCTTGTTCTGGCACATAAGTTAACCGAGATGAATGCAAAATATTTAAATGTAGCTATTCAACTGCTAAAAATGCATTGACACCGAAGTCCTTTCAGCAAGTAATAGCTAGTGGGGTAGCCAGGTATTCCCTAAGGGGGAAGGAGGGCTAAGCGGAACGGTGGGACTAATTTCTCCTAGTTCGGGTGGGGGGGGGGGGGGAGGGTAGGTGGCGGACGCATTTTGAACATAGGGGGGGCTTCAACCCCCCACCCCTCGCTACGCCACTGGGAATAGCTAGTGCACTGGATGAATGTGAAAAGCTATGCATTCCATTGTAGTTCTCTTTGAAGCTTCAACTGTGCACTTCTATTCATGCCCAATATAGGACTTGCATGAGTGTTTTTTTTTTTCAGTGACGCTGAACAACGGGACTGATGTCCTACAACAGCTGCAGGTCCCAATCGTGCCACTAGCAGCATGTTCAGTCATTCCATTTTTCAAGTCGGTGACATTCACCAACGAATACATCTGTGCGGGAGGCGAGCCTAACAAGGACGCTTGCATGGGAGACAGTGGGGGGCCGTTGATGATCCTGAGACCTGGGATTGCTCAATATTTTCTCATCGGTGTTGTCTCATTTGGTACTCCATATTGTGGGCTAATTGATGCTCCTAGTGTCTACACTCGCATCACCCAATATCTTGACTGGATCCTCGATCACGTCAAGGAATGACTATACCGTATTATACGTGTATGCCTCTATTGACTATCAACATCCGACCAAGGGGATTTATTGAAGACTCACTTGGATGGGGCTGGATCCTGACTCGAGCATATGGATTCCATTGAAAGCTTCAAAATATTGTATATTACATTTTTTTAATTATGGCACCTAATATGGTGTGGATAGCTTCGAGGCCAGAGTTGTGCAGTCCAATAACGTCATCGACCTTTGCTATGAAAAATATGAGCAAGTGATGATTGTAATGATCGCGTTATTTTTCTCCAAACCAATTGACACAACAAAGGACTATCAACCAGACGTGTTAGTTTCCCACACACTCACGGCAGAATCAGATGTAGCCTTCTCGAAGTCGACCTACGCAGAGAATAGCCTCGCCAAGGAGGAAATTCTAAAAGGTTCATAGCCTGAGGTGTCCGTAAGTCTTCTGGCGTCGATGGAATCCAGGCAGAGACACTGAAATCAATGGACATCGATGGGTAATTTTTGTTGCATGTGGTACGTCGAAATGCGTTGGAACCAGTGTCAGTCGGCTGCCTATGGATTGGTAGTTTTGGTGGGATGGTTGAGCTTTTGAAAAAGATGGACTCGAGGGAGTGTGCCAATTACCTGTGAGGTAATGGTGAGGTAAGGGCTGTCATCCAGAACAAATCGAGACGCGAGAATCGGTCGAAATACGCCAATGCACCATTGAACGACATATGCTTGGAACGAATAAGATATGCTTCGAAATCATCGCTCGAGTGCGACATACAGGTACAGTACACGGCCAGAGTTAGCGTTGGGGATTCCGAGAATCCATTTGTTCTTTCTCAATCCATTGGATACGACCAGTGATTTCATATCTGTCTGAAAAGTCGGGGAATATTCACATGCACATAATTACGTCCCCGGATCTAAAGCAATACATACATTTCCATCCCTGGATTCAGAATAAATGAAGCCATGAATTTTGATATGCCATCAACTCTTTAACCTATAGGCGTTTTCACATTCCATTCGCGAAATCGATTCCGTAGGCGAAGAAATATGCATTAAAAATTCCTCCTGTGAATCCTCATCCAAAGCTCTGTCTGTGGCACTCTTCGAAGTTGAAATCGATCTTCACTTTTCCGATGTTCATCATTCGATTCATAAGGGTTTGAAATATTTTTTTTCCCAATACGACGAGCTCTTCGACTATCACACACCCTCTTGTGTCTGCCTTCAAATGGTCGAGAATTTTCAAGGATACTAGTAGGTAGACCGTGCAAAAACACGGAAAAATTTAAATGCAATGAATACGAACATGGCCAAAGGGGGGCGGTCACCGCCCCTCGCTTCCTGGATCCGCCACTGGTTGGCCATGTGAGAAGCCAATGCGCGACAAAACACCCATAATTTCTCGAAGGTCTGCCCCTGCATTCGTTAATCGTCATGTCAAAGGCAGAGCTGACGGGGAATTGACGCCGAGTAAAGACGAAAGGCAACCCAAAGATCAAGACGTTAACTTTGAATCGTCGCTTTGCAGGGCAATTTGGTAAATGGACTTCTCTTATTGGCCTCACTCTGCTCTGCGGACAACAACACGCCACGCAAGTTTCCAAACGTTAGTGGCCCTTGGCCACACTGCTTGAACTCAATACTACGCGTATGGGAGAGCACACGCGATCGCGCTGTGCGCACATACCACCGACTGGCACCACCGGACAACAGTAGATTTTACTATATAAATATATAGAGAGATTAAATCCAATCATGACAATCTTTCCTGTTTTTATTCTCTGTTCCTGCGAGGCTTGATTTAACAACTCCCAACTAACGTTTGAGGGAAGGTAATACTTTTCATCAAGGAATGACAAAATCGGAGTGGCACTCACGACTCACGACATACACTCACGACTTGCTCTAGTTGCAACGTTTTACGTACATTGCACAACTCCCTATGACAAATGACATTTGTAAGACAAGACGCAGTATGTTGGTGAAATTGGCAGACTTTTCTTACTGAAGAAAAATAAATATATACTGTATGCAAAACTGAATTATAAAGAACCAATGGATCAGGACCAAAGTGTATTAGGTCTCCCCTTCTCGCATTTGGCTTTCATGTCCCAAGAACTTGATGATGGCGAGGAAGCAAACAAGTATTAATACAATGCCACCATCTCCATCTTGCAATATGATCTGATCGGGCGTTTAAAGAATCTCTTTGAGTCGCAGTCAAAGTATTCTTCTTCGACGTAAAAGAGCCAGTAAGCGCCTGGGGATATGATCCCCTTCGCTACCGCCATGTTGTCTATCGCTTATCCTCAAAGGTCAACCGGGTTTCAGTTTCCTTCTTCCATTGTTCTTGTCTAGCGAGTGGGATTCGGCTCTGGCCGGATGGTGAAATACATTGCCGTATTTCTTTTCCACAAAGGAGAGCTGATAGGATTCGAAAGGGACCGAGTGGAAAGGGAAGAAAGATTTCGTGGGGGAAGGAAGACTCGTTATGGCTTCTCTCTTTACCAGCTTCACCGCCTTTCTTCTTGTCTGCTTCGTTCATGCAGAACACCTGCGATTCCGTCGACAAGGTAAGAATGCTGGAGAGTCTTTTTTCCTCCTATGACAATGGAGGGTGTCCGAGTTGCACACTACCTCGGTGATGGCATCACTCGTTGTGGCCTTGGACGCTCAATAGGCGTAGATGCAAAGCTTTCAGCCTCCAGATTTGTATACTCTGATTGGAATCACGGGAGGTGGGTAGCACTCCTCTCAAAGATCTTATCCCTTAGAAATAGTGATTTGTATAGCATTTCTTGACGCGACAAGGGAGGGGGTTTTACTTGGCAGAGTAGTCGTAATTAATGAGTTCGCATATCAGTTTGTCAGAACGGAAGCCATTTAAAAATTATCATCTAAAAGCTTAAATATAAACGTTTAATTTTTTAATAATATTAGATGGGTGACATCTCTGATTAGTAGAAGGGAACATTCGGGAATATCTTCCTTGATGAGACATAAAAGTGGCACACTCATGTGGGCATCGATTAAAAAAGTTTGTGTTGTCGTTCAGCAAGGAGCTCGATTCAAAGCGCGAGCGCGGAGTGCAAGACGCCCGAACCGAACATTCGACCAGGGAAATGCACCCATATCAAAGATTGTGAGGAGCTCCTCTCTCTCCTACGAGGACCGAATCAGAATATTCCATACGTGAGACAGTCCATCTGTTTCATACCGGTCAATGGAGGGGATCCCATTGTCTGCTGCCCGGAGGCTAAATCCCCTGAGCCCATTCCTGATATCGTAAGTGAAGAATCTCCCTTTCAAGGGAGGGGGAAACAAATATGAAAAATTGTAAAAGTTTCTCCCATTTTTAAGTGACCTTTTATTGCAAAGTATGATAAATCTTCGACAAAGTCGCTCAACACAAAATCGAATACCATTTTTTGAACACATTTACCTTTTCTTACATTAGATAATGTAGAGTCCAGGTACTCAAACCACCGCCAGCATGTGGTTCCCGAGGAACTCGAAAACGGTCCCCGAGGACAAAAAGATCCTGTTATTGATATGGAATTTTTGTTTGCACCAGTAAGCCTTTCAGTGTCAGTGCTCCCCGGATTGGAGATTGCCAGGTCAGGATGCCGCCTCAGCCTCAAAAGGATTGAGTTACTTTACTGTAGAGTAGTGGTTCTCAAACTCTCTTTCCTTTTACTCCCGTAGAAAGTTCGTGTGCGCGGTGGTCCGCGGACCACAGATTGAGAACCACTGCTATAGAACGACAGAGTAATTTTTTAACCTGAAGGGTCCGGTTTTTATTTTCATTCTCAGGAAAAGGAAGTCGATAAAACGAAACTGTTCCCAGATCCTCGCAAGTATGAATGCGGGATTGAGATCAATGACAGGATAGTGAACGGGGGAGATGCTCCCCTTGGAGCGTGGCCCTGGATGGCTCTGCTTTTCTATCAAAGTAAGCAGAATCTCATGCTGACTTCAATTTGGAGTTTCCCTTGCAGTTCGCTAGGATAACTCTTACGGATGATTCCACATTCCAGTTCCTGGGGGAGGAGTGAAGCCAGGCTGTGGCGGAGCTGTGATCAACAAACGATACGTAATCACAGCTGCACATTGTGTCAGTCCTGGAATCATCGGCGAATACAAACTGTGAGCCCTCGTGCTTATCCTCGACTCTCAAACTTGTCTTCTCTGACATGACAATATCGTGCTTGCAGCGCATACGCGAGACTGGGAGAGCATAAGCTATCGACAGATCCAGATTGCAAAGGTCCGAGGAGGCAGGTGTGTCAATCGCCAGCCATCAATGCGGAAGTGGAAGAGATCATCTACCATCCCAACTTCATTCAAGACACCCGAAAGGGCTCCAAGTTTGACATTGCCCTCCTCCGTCTAGGCAAAGACATCGACCTTAAGAATGGTAACACTCCAACCGTACTTGCGTTCAGCCCTTCGTTCCATACGAGTGTTTCTGAAGGTGTCCCGATATTGAGATTTTCACCCATAGTCGATGTTCGGATCTCAAATGGAACTATGCCGAAACTGCCTCTCAGGTACCTATATTAGGTTTGCCAGACTAGCTTTCGAATTTCATCTGAGGCAAATTTTCAAAACGAGAAATGAAGTCAAAGTTTTCTCTAGAACTTTATCTGAGGTCAGACTGCTATCAGAGATTGTTTTATTGTAACGTTCAATATCTCAATACCAGTGCCTGCCAAACATTGTCAGTTTGATATTCTTTTGAAGCCTTCTGATATTATTGTGACATCTTGTTTTCTCTTTTTTCTTTTTTCTTCAAATCAACAGCACACAAATTTTATTTTTGTAGGTAGTATTGCTCCGATCTGTCTGCCGTTTGACAAGGAAATTTTTGCACCGGATGGAGATATTTCCTTTGATAACAAGACTGGTTGGGTGACAGGGTGGGGGAAGACAAGCGTCAGTGAGTTCTCCTATTCTGTCTTCATTTTTTTTAACGTTCCCTTATACTTATAGGACTTCATAAAACAAGGAGACTAGGAATGTAAAAATGAAACTGTTTTGGAAATGGCATAAATGTGGATGAAATGAATTAATGAATTTTTAGGGTTTTTCCATATTTATGGAAAAACCATCGCGTATCCAAATTTTTTTTTTAATCTTTACTTTGGCCCCAATATGAAAATATGTATCACGTACCTGTAATTGCAGTTATCACATTTTCCAATCACCGACTGCCAGATATCAGGTAGTTCGGTTGATTCTGTCACTTCGCCACTTCTTCCACTGGACGCTTCCTCTACTGGACACTTATTCGACTGGACGCTTTTTCGAAAGGCTTTCGCTGAAACATCCAGTCGAAGAAACGTTCAGTCGAAGTGTCCGGTTGAAGAAGTTTCTTTCGAAGCATTGACATGGAAACGGTTTGGTTACTCCGTTGAACGTCCCCTTTCTATTGCCCTCTTGTCTTGACGTCTGGATGGCGTTTTTATTAGGGGTCATACTGTTATAACATTTTCCCTGAAGTTCTAAAGGGCCGAAGCAATTGAAATCGCACGGTTCGTATCCGGGCTTTACGGGGCTTGAGGTACTTTGGCAACCAAGTTTCATCCATTGTAATGACTTTGGACTCGATCATTGCAATGCATAAAACTTGGGTGACGATGTATGCCCCGCCGCCCTGACACAAGGCTCAGTTGTGGTTGACTCCTGGACAGCCAGCCCCAAAATTACCAAGGCAGGAACTTTATGAGAGGAAGTTGTTGCTCACTGTGAGGAGGGATGTTACTGGTGTGGCCTTCTTGGATGTCCTCGATGAAAATCAATGCATGAATAGGGATTGGGTCTGTGCTTTCTTGAAAAAGTTTGTGATTGACTGAGCTAGTGCAAAAGGTGTGGGAGTGCCTGTTATTTTACACGACAATGCCATACCTCATAAGCTGCTCCAGCTCCAGCAGTAAATTGGGGGGAGAGTTTGTCTGGTATTACTCCAAGCCCCTATAGCCCGGATACGAATCCGTGCGATTTCAATGGCTTCGGCTCTTTGAAACTTCAGCTCAAGGGGAAACGTTATAACAGTATGACCCAGATGAAAAATGGCACCCAGACGTCAATACACGAGGGCAATCGAAAGGGATGTTGAACGTGGTAAACGAACTATCATACATGATGTCTGGCAGTCAATGATTGACAAGCATGACTTCTGGTCAATTCGTCAATACAGGTACGTGATAAATGAATTTTATGTGGGCCAAAGTAAAGATTTTAAATAAAATTTCCAATACGCGCTGATAATTATGGGAAATTTTAAAGATTTATTGGTCACGTTAAACAGGCTATACTGGACTCAGCTGATAATTCAGTTGTCCTGTGGACAGAGGAGGCATCAAACATATCAGAAACATGTCATTCTTTACCTTGCTTTCACCCCTTTCCCCGGTGCGACTATCTTGCCTGCGACGAAATAGTGCAACGACCTAAAGTGCATGGAACGTTTTGTCCGCGACGAACTGTCCGCGACGAAAGCGCCAGCAACCAAATTCGATTGACTGCAGCCAACATATCTTACTTCCTGGCCATTTTCAAGAAAATCAAAAATAGTCCAGCACACATGGTGGTGGAATTGGTGGAATGTCACGATTACATGAGTACATGGGTAAAAAAAAAAAAGAGGGAAAAATAGGAACTCAAAATAGTACTCATGCTCTTAAATTTTGTTTCTCATACCAACCAGAGATGTTAAATCTTGAAATAGTTTATATCTAGTGCTTAATTTTTATTTTTAGGTTAAGACTCACGTTCTATCGAAACTTCGGTTGACTACCCAGTGGCGTAGCGAGGGGGGTTGGGCTTTAGCCCTCCCAAGTGTGAGTTGAAGCCCCCCAACTCTGGTCAAAATGCGCCGTTCCACTCCCCCCCCCCTCCCTTTGACTAGGAGAAGTAAGCCCCCCCCACCGTTCCACTTAGCCCCACCATAGGGGAAAACCTGGCTTCGCCACTGTGACTGCCATGTTATTGTTCCCCCAATGAAACTTGAGTCATGGAACAATTTTTACTTGTTGTTTAGACAGGATTGGATTCGATGTTCGCTATGTTCGCTACATCATTATGGGTAGTTTGATTCCTGGCAAACTGATGAGTATAAATGTGTTTTTCATTAGCCCATCTTACCTTAAAAGAAAAGTTTCTGACCTTATTCTGACCCGAACTTTGACTAAGGAAAACCTCAGGTATGGATTGACTACAGGAGTAAGTGTAGTTGTTGAAACAAATGAAATTACATTTACGCCTATGTTCTTCCTGGCACTGGAGGAAAAGGGGATTTTTGTCAATTCAGCTGTCAATATCTTCCAATTCCTGAGCACTTCTGTTCTGGACGATATAGAACATGGATTTGTTGCTTTATCAGCAAGGCCGAACAACGGGAGTGACGTCTTGCAACAGCTGCAGGTCCCGATCGTCCCGCTGACAAAATGTGCCACCACTCCCGTCTACAAGACGGTGGAATTCTCAGAGGAACATGTCTGTGCCGGAGGAGAGCCTAATAAGAACTCTTGCAAAGGAGACAGTGGGGGACCGTTGGTGATCTTGAGATCCCAACCTGGGAGTCCTCAATATTTTCTCATCGGTGTTGTCTCATTTGGTACTCCATATTGTGGGCTTGTTGATGCTCCTGGTGTCTACACTCGCATCACCCATTATCTTGACTGGATCCTCGATCACGTCAAGGAATGACTATACAGTAGAACTCGGTTATAACGACGAAGAGCGCCAGGCCCCGGCGTAGAGCCCATAAGGTAAGTGAAAGTTTATATTGTTTATGACAAGCTCGGTTATAGCGCGAACCTCGGTTGTAACGAAGTCCATTCAATTTCCCACTGACGAAATAGACAACGTTGACGTCTCCAACTCGTCATTCTTGACTGGAATTTCTATCATCGAAAGAATGAGCGAAAGATAAAATTATGGCGAGCCATAACTTCATCTTTCCTGAAATCAGCATTCCTTGAGGGTCATGTAAGTGTGACGAGGAGGGTAAGGGAGGGACAATCCCCAGTAACTACTAGTAAAAAGATCATATGCTTTTTAGTCGCCATTTGCATTTCTCGGTTACAACATCGCCATTGAAGTGCAAAAGTGGCAAGCTTTCGCAATTAACAAGAAAAAGTGCATAATTCGTTTAATAGAAAGTGGGTGAAGTAATGCTGACGTCTCTGGTGTACATAGACTTCCTAGTTCATCTATTTCCACAATTTGGAAAAATAGTGACAGCTTCATCCTTACTGAGAACATGCCACAAAACAAGAAACTTCGTAGATCTGCTCGACATGACGTCAACAAATCCTTGCTAAAGTTAGTGTGGGCCAATTAGTTGGCCAATGCTAAAAGTGAAGCCAGCGCAGGACGACCGATGTGCACTAATGTTTTACATAGCATCTATTTTGAAAACAAGGAAATGAGTCAATAAAGGCAACCTCGGTAAAAACGAACCTCGGTTATAACGACGATTTTTTTTGGTCCCTTCAATGACGTTATAACTGAGTTCGACTATACCATATTATATGTGTATGCCTCTATTGACGATAAAAATCTGACCAATGTGATTTTTTGGAGACTCACTTGGATGGAGCAGGATCCTGACTCAACCATGTGGATTCCATTGAAAGCTTCAAAAGATTATGTTGTGACGACCCAGCCGGCACGGCACGCGGTGAGTGGCCTGGCCGGAGGGCTGTCCTGTGTATGAGGGCAAAGCTCTCTGTGAACTGCTCTGTGGAGGTCGTGGTATATGCATGTCACACCAGACCTCAGACCCTTGACTCCAGTCAAGAAATCCTCCTTATTAAGCCTCTAGATGTATTTCATACTTAGCCACTTCTCTCTCCATTTCATCCTGATGCCCAAATACAAGAGACAGAATTATGTTTGCATTTTAACCCAGTAATTCAGCTTCAAAGTGTCCAGAAATGAAGGCCAGCGCCCTAGGATCACAGGCACCATAGGAGTGAGGTTCTTATCCTTCTTTTTAATGAAAGAATCCCCTCCGAGGATGGAGAGAGCTGAGAGCTCTCAGCTGATTACAACTCGCCTCATCTTCATACGCTTATCGCTTACGAGTAATAAGTCATCGTCCTTCCCCCTTATACCTTTTGGGATTAGACATTCCTGATTTCCTGAAACTCTCCCGAAGAGATAGAAGATAAAGAGCGTGCACTCGCCTGTTTTGGATGAAATTGTCATGGTGTAGCGCAGGCACACTGGCTCTCTAGCGGAAAGGGTGAAGAGTCACTGTCCCTTCCATATATCCTCATTTGACGAATGTTGTTTCTGAAAGGGGAGGTGTGATTTATGCCATCAGATGCCTTGTAGTATACACACGTATTCACTTTTCAATATGTTGTGCAAACAGATATCACTTCGGGAGGAATATTCTGCAAATCTGCTTTCTTGAACCACTCAAGAGCCCCGACATTCGTATGCGAGCTTTCAGATTAAAATAGAAATATATGCATAATTCGGCATCCGATGAAAGCACTGTAATATTTTCTCCCGTAATGAAGATATCCCCGTGGAACGTCCCCGCATCACTGAAAACATTTCCTTACCTAAGTCGCCTGTTTACGAAATACTGGCTGTACCGTCTCATGGTTTTTGTGACTTTTCTTATCAGGAGAAACAAACCCAGATTCAGAAAATAATTTATTTTCCGAAATAAATGCATATTTTACAAGATAGACTAAGGTACCAAAGGTGTGGGGGTTGCTAAGCAGACTCTAGGTTTCTACAGTCTAAGAAATGCGCCAGTTTCGCTTGCAAACAATATACCTTAATTCTTTTTCGTGCGAGTCTCATTTTCCTGCACGTGACATCTCGGATAAATAAGAAAGATTTTCTCCATGTTTCGAAAAACTCCAATATTCCCAAGTTGAAGTACCAAAAATGGCAGCGAAAAAGCTATCTGCACACCTCTGCTCCTCGCCTAGTATGTCACATTGGCCCTCCATAACTTGACGGAACTAAGGCAGCGGACAGTCTCAGTCGTGTGCTGATGAGGGATATTTTTACAATTAAATTGGCACCCTTTCATTTGAAAAAGGGGGAAACAATCGTATTTACACTTGTGAAAAATTCATCAAGGACAATTTGATCTCCGAGGGAGCCTGTCATCACTCAGTCATGTTAGAACAAGCTAAAACGACGTACCTGGGAATGATCAGCGAGGAAGTTGCTTCTCCACAACGATTTTTTTAAACGTTTGCTTAGAAAAAGTTACTTAATCAACGAGAGAACTTTTTTAAAACTTTGTAGGAGTTCTTATTCATCTAGAACAGTGGTTCTCAACCTCGGGTCGCGACCCAAATCAGGGTCACAGGGGTCCTCAGTAGGGTTACGAAGGGTCATCAGAAGAAAAATTTTTTTTTTTTCAAATGCACCATATTTCATTATGAAAATATTATTATACAATTTAAATTTTATCATAAGCCTGAGAGCTGGGAGGTCCTGTTGGTGGCCAATTTAGGGTCCCAGCGAAAAAGTTTGGGAACCACTGAACTAGAATGTCATGCAAAAACGCCGGGATCCCACATAATATTGGATGGAGATATTAAAAATAAATAAACTGGTGCCTCTTCTGAGATAATGTGTCTGCTTGAAAAATGCTATGAACACTCAACCCATGGACTCAACATGGACAACGCATGGAACGATGATTCCAGAGCGATTCTCCAATTTTTTTTTAACAATGTACTGCTGCACAAAAAGCCCCAGAACGAGACGTGATTGAGCTTCTCCACCCTTTCCGCTAGAGCGTCGGTGTTGCACGCACCAGCCATAGTGATTCCACCCAGCACCAGGTGGCCGCGAGAGAATGCACACTCATCATCTTCTATCTCTTTGAATTCTCCGCTCGGGATTATATGTTCCCGTCCCTTTCCCTCCTGTAAAATTGGTTGATTGTGTTCTAGCTTGGTACTGAAGAACGACATTGTCACTCACGGAGGTTCTCTTGGTTTTCCTTTTATCCCCTCTGATGCCGTCTACAGGAGCACGCCGCCGACCTATGGGCCTATGCCCCACTCAGAACACAGCTGAAGTCCTCCTTTGTTCATCATCCCGCTGTCCCTTTTCAAATAAATCCGGACTTTCATTAACCCTGAGTTATCGTGTTGTGATTTCGACCTCCAAGTACTGTAGAAAGAAAAACGCGCAGAACCGTAACAATATACAGGGTGCCCAATAGAAAACTAAAGGATTTATTTTTTATTAAGGATTTATTCAAGAGTATTCACAAAGGATTTACAAATATTCTACTAGATGAAATATTATATAAATATATATTATATAAAAATATATTAGAAATATGATACTAGATGTATTCTTGTCGATAGAAAACATCACTTCGTTGTTAAAGGCGTGCTAATTGCAATCCTTTGGTTTTCTACTGGGCACCCTGTATTGCATTTTTTCATCATAGTACCTAAGTATGGTGTGGATTGCTTTGAAGCCAGCATTATGCAGTTAAATAATGTCATCGACCTTTGCTATGAAAAACATGAGCACATGTTGATTGTTATGATTTTTCTCCTTACCAATTGACACAACAGAGAACTATCACTCGGCATTCTCCTTTCATGAGACATACCATCTATCTATGCAATGAAACACAAAACAGAGCTGGATGTGTTAGTTTCCCACACACGGCAGAGTATGATGTAGCCTTCTCGGAGTCGACCTACGCAGAGAATAGGCTTGCCATTGAGAAATTTAACGGCTTTTTTTTTCATAGCCTGAGATGTCAGGTGGACTCCTGGCATCGATGCAATCCAGGCAGAGACACTGAAATCAATGGACACCGATGGGTATTTTTGGCTGCATTGGGTACATCGAAACGCGTTGGAACCGGTGACACTAGGCTGCCTACACTGTAAAAAACAATGGTTCTCCCTGTAACTCTTTACTGGTTCTACTGTGAAACTTTTTTTGGAACCATTTAATGGTTCCATAGAGAACCACCTATGAAGGTTACATCCAGCACCTTTACAAAAAGTGTCGCTTAAAACCCCTTCGTGAATAACATGGTTCCACACAGAACCATCACTCAATGCAGCACATAATTCAGCAAAACAACGTTATGTCAACTTTGAGCAAAGATTTCTCAACGTTTGGGCATTGAAGTACCTCCTTCACTTCTTGGGTTTGAAAGAGCGCTAATAACGATTAGGTGACAAGATTCCATTTATATTAGATAGATGATAGTACTCTAGTAAGTAGTGTCATCCACAGAAAGTTCCTTCTAAAGGGCCAAGGAAGGATCTCAGGATTTTGATAATACTCTATTGTCCAGTCTCTAATGTCCCAGAGGAGTCCCGCTGTGGTTATATTTCCTTCACTAGATCAGAATTAGAGTTGAGTACCTGAGTGAAACAACTCTTTCTGTCCAGCAAAGGAATTACGCGTCTAGCAACATTCCCAGATTTATTTCATTCTAGGAGAGAAGCCGGACATATTCTCGCAAAGTCAATTTTCACGCTCTATCTTTCTCGAATGAGATACAAGAGCCTGGGTTCTTCCAAGCACTATGTAAAGACTTATGAAAATTGAGCATGTCTCCTCGGACACCCTGGTCATTTGTATTTGGAGTACCCTTCTGCTGGTTTACCTCCTTGAACGGATCTTTCTAGGAATTCCAAAGCCTTCCCTTTAATACATTAAGCATCACCTATTGTTCCTCCATCGGGGAGAAAT